AAAAACGAGCATCTAAATGGACTTTTTTGAAAAAACTCAAAGAAGAAACCCCCCCCCCCCCTAAAATCAAGTTTTCTACCCCACACGAAGACGGAAACAAAAAAAATGCATTGTAGAATGCCCAGAATGCCCCCAAGAAAATCTGGTCAAGAGGAAAAAAATAATCCGAGTTACTGCCCAAGTTTTGGAAATAGGGCTTCGGGAGGTTTTTAAATTGTCTAAATTGAAAATGCAATCTTAAAATACACCCACAAGACCCCCGTAAGTTTCGGATCGGTCGAGACGATTTTCAAAAAAAAGTCGATGAATAGTACCAAGTACATTTGTACTAAAAGTTTGCAAAACCTGGCAGCAAAGATTTTTCGGAAAAATATGGATTTTTGAGGGCCAAGATGTCATTTTCTGGAGAAAAACAAAGAAAAAAACCCCCTCAAAATTTAGTTTTCTACGTGACTCGAGAGGAAAAATGAAAAAAAAAAAAAAACTCATTTTAAAATACCCGAAATGCCCCTGGAACAGAGTAGGGTAAAACTCCCTAAAAATGCTACTTAGAGTTTTTGTTTCATCAAGGATGATGTTGTTTGCCAAAGTGAGCATGCAAGCATATGTAAAATGATAAAATAGATGTGGTACAATGGCTTAGGGCCTCATGGCATGTCATATGCAAGGTATGACCCTTCAATGCATTAAACCACATATCTTCCATAGGCAACAATGAAGCCAAAATTAACATACATATCACAAAAGTGTCTTTGGCCCTTGGCCTCATTACAACATATTTTAAGAGTATCAAAAGGAGCACTTAAGTGCACATTACATAGTTTAGACATCAAATACATGTTTTTGTCATAGTAAACAAAATGGACAAGATATGCTAACAAGTGCATATTCTAACATAGCAAAAATACTCCAAGTAGTCTAGCAAGTCTAAGATTGTTGTGCATCCCACAATATGGCTTCTTTACCTGAAAAACACCCGGTAACTTCGGGGTGAGTAAACAAGTTTACTCGTAGGGAATGCATAGATTTAACTTGTTGCAAGATTTGCATTTTTACATAATTCAATCCATACTATTAAAGTGACATTAAAACTTTCAACATAGCATAATGAGATACAAATTCACAAAGTTAACAACTTGGAATTTAAATGCGAAATCAAACCAAAGTGGATACTTGGATATTGCCCGGATTAAAACCGTACTCTTGAGATCAATTTAGGGCTATTAACCCATGGGTACCTTTCCCCTAGTGCGCACTATAATGTAGGGAGCTCTCTATCTCCCGTACTAGAACCAAGTCCTAGCCAAGTCATGTTCTTGATAATATCCCAAGTTTCCAAAATCAACAAGTATAACAACAAGTCATGATATGTGATAAAACACAACAAGTTCCATGGATTGAATGACTAAATCATTAGATCATTGATATAGATATTAATTAAACTAATTAAGTAATTTCTCTAGATTTCAAGAGGTGTCCAAATGATTCCAATTTAATATATGACAAGTAATAACTCATAGATATGCCATATATCAAGTCAAAAAATGGAATTTAAGCATAGTACAACTAAGTAGGATTTAAATCAAATTAAATCAATTAATTCTCTAGATTTAAAAGCTCTTTTAAATCATGTCAAACTAACATACAACAAGGATCAAGTCATGGCCATGCCATATATCAAGTCTAAGTAAATTATATACAAGAAATCATTAATCATTTATCTCTTAATTTAACATAGAACATGCATACAACTTTTATATCATTACAAGAACAATTAAATCACTTGAAAAAATTAAATTAAACACTCCCTACCTCAATAGAGAATTGAATCTCTATAATCCTATGCAACAAAGCTCAAAATGGAAAACCAATCAAGGGTTTTATAGAGGGGAGTGAGAGGAACCTAAAGTATTCCAAGTTTAAAGTTCTAAGGTGAGTGAAAGGGCACCAAAAATAAAGTCAAAGCTACTAGTCAAGCTTTTCTCCAATGGTAGTTTCCTTAGGGTTCTTGAGAGGAAAGTGATGAATGAATAAAAGAAATGCAAACCCTAAGCTAAATGGTGGGCTTCTCCACTCACTAGGTGCTCTTGCACTACCTCTCACACACACACTAATGCAAGACTAAAGGTGAGTCCTACACTTGTCATGAATCCAAGTAGTCTTTCAAGATTAAAAATCAACCCTACACTTGTCAACCATCCAAGCCAACAAGTGCACCAATCCTAGGCCAACAAGTAAGTGAATCTCCACCCTCCACATGTCATCATCCAAGTCATCAAGGTGTTTCCACACCCTTGTCAACAAGTGAACCAATGAGAGTGTGACACTTGTCACACTTTTCGGAAATTGCAAACAAGTCCTTTTTGAAAATATCTTCCAATTTAAATTGCTAAATGGTCCCTAAGACGAAAAGTAATTACTTTACTTAATTACCCAAAACCCCTCAAGTTATGGATAATTACAAAAAGTCTTGTTTTCATAACTTTTACAAAGAAAGTAAGCATTTAATATGCATTTCTACAAAAGTAAAAATGTAGATGTCATGGAATTTAAATATCATGGACGTATGCAAAACTGGAATCAAATCCGAGCATAAAAAGTGAGGTTATGCATGGAAAAGTGAAAAACGACTAAAGGACGAAATAGTGAATAGTGTCCAAAAATGAAAAATGTGGAAATGACTCGGTCCTTAAAGGAAGTTGCCTATCCAAAGAAAAGAGTCTCGGAAATCATTCCAGAGCACTCGAGACGACACAAATCCATGAGAAACAAAACCCAGAAAGGAAAAGATAACGGGAAAAAAATATTCGTGAAAATCTGAGAAGAAGAAAATGAAGGAAAAAGACCAGGTCATTACACTTTGGATGCCATCTAGGAGTAAATTTTTTGAAAATTTGATATCTTGCTTTCATTTGTGGTCCACATCATCTTAATTTTGAAATTGATATCTTACTTACATTTGTGGTCCACATCATCTTAATTTTGTGATTGTTTTGAGATTCACTCTAGGATTCTACACTAGCACAGGCGTACACTAGCATTTATTTGTGAGGTACATGCTTTTCATGATGTGTAGAGGACCATACTTGTTTGCTTGATGTTGAAATTTTAGGAGATTGCTTAGAAATGATTGAAAAATTGCATACTTGAGGTAGTTTTCTCCCGATGCTTGTTGGAATATTGGTGTCTCTTTAGTGAGAAAGAGCTTAATGTTTGTGGGTAACATTTCTAGAAACCCTCACGAGACTTCACTAGTCCACTAGGGGTAACTTAGGTGTGACGACCCTGGTTTTTAGGCCAGCGCGTCTTGTGATGAACCGAAGATTGACCAGATAGTGGATCCAGATATGGAAGCTAGAAATAAGTCAACGGTCTCCCAAGGCACAACACACCTCTAAGACACTTTGATGACCTTCCATGAGGTTGTGGAACTCAATGAAAACTGACGCGGAAGCAAAAGATCGAAAAAATAACAATTAAGCCCCCACGAGCAAAATAGTCATTTTACATGAAAATGACGTCCCTGGAATGTATATCATTCCCGAAACACATCCGTAACTTCCTATAAAGTCACGGAACTCAAAAGAAAGTAGCGGAAGCGGAAAGCAAGAAAAATTGGACAAAAATAGCCCCAAGGGCAAAATAGTCATTTCTAAAACTATGGATTCGGGTGCCACCGAGCACACTTCTTTTTATTTATTTATTTATTTATTTTTTAATAGTAATGACATAATCACTTAAGATTTAAAATATATGTATGTATATAACATATAAACTAGTGCAAAATTCAATGATGTGAAATATGAGACACAATAATAATTTTTTTCTAAAATAATTGTTCTAAATTCATAAAATTATTTTTAGACAATCAAATAGTTTTTCGAATTTTTGTTTTTCAAAAACTGTTTTGTAATTTTACCTGTTCACGTTCTCTATTCTTGAAAACAATTTTAAGAGAAGAAAACCAAGCAAGGCTTAATATTTCTATGCCAATTTGTTTCTTTACTGAATAAATTAAGAATGAACCGACGTTGTACAACATAATAGTAAATCAAGAACAAAAAATTAAAATATTACATGAATTGATAAAAACAAAACAATTTATCTATGTTATAAAAAATGTCATTACATTGACAGTGCCATTACAATGGATGAAAAAAACAATTCTAATTCAAATCATTTAGCTGTTGGCATCTTGAAACAACAAATCGGACAAAAGTTACCGATCTCCAGCCAATGAACAATGCAATCTTCATGGTAGACATGATCACAGGGCAGGTGAGTGACTTCAGAACCAGCTTGAAACTTGACGAAACAAATTATACATTGATCCATGTAACCTCCTATCCATGGTACGGTCTTCTCCCCATCTCCATCCCCATCCCACGGATGGTGCTAGAACAAGTATCTATGTCACCAGAGAGAATACTACTAAATATATCGTTAGTTGTGTCCGAGAGGGTGATTACGTCCGTTCATGAAATTTTAAGTCATAAAAATGTGTTGTATATATTAGTAGAAAACACGTCATAAAAATGCGTTGTATATATAAGTAGAAAACACATACACACATATAAAGAGCTTTGTATGCCAATTTGTTTTTTTACTGAATAAATTAACAATGAACACTTATAAATTAATATTTGTACAAGTGGACTATTGGTTTTCCCATGTTTAAACTCTAGTGCATCATATTTTGGTAAAGAATTATATTTAATATTAGGGCAAATTTCTGTAAACCCCCAATACTATTAAAAAGTGATTATAAAATCCCAACCAATTTGAAAAACCCCAATAACATAATAAAGTTATCATTTTACCCCAACTCTGTCAATTAAGCCCGTTAACCCAGCGCGTGGTTAACAATTGCTTTTGATAATTTGACTTTTGTGACGAAAATACCCCTACTATCACATGTGCCAAACAAGTGATGTGTATATAAATCTATTATACCGAAGATACCCCGAACTATGTAATAGTAAAAACCCACCATCTGATTTTTTGAAAGGAGCTTCATTGACCGTGAGTTGCTCATCCAAATTCTGAGTAACCAAAATTTGATTGAGAAATTGGTAACGGACCATGGACCGGCGACCAAACTGCAAACAATACAAAATCCAAGTTCAGCTGGGATAATGGACCGGCGACCAAACTGCAAACAATACAAAATCCAAGTTTATCTGACCCACCATCTGTTCATGTCAGTAGGACAGAAGCCGGTGCACCTTCGTTGGCAGTTACTCCAAGTGTTCCCTTCTATCCTCCATTAAATAGGGCGGGACCTGTTTCTAATCCCCAACCTCCACCTGAGATTGTTCCTGTTCCCTCCCCACGTGCAGGAGCTCATGTGGCCAAGGACATCAACTATTATAAGAGCTTGATTCAGCAGCATGGTGGAGAAAAACAAGAGATCCTTCCCCAATCTGGTGGCCGTCACAACCAGTTACTACCCAACCCAGAATCAATAAATAACCCTAAACCAAGGGATTTAAAACCCAAGATAATGAAACCTTGCATCTATTTCAACAAATCAAGGGGATGCAGGCACGGAGCCAACTGCTCATATCAGCACGATGTGTCATCGGCCCCACAGCAGGTCAGTGGCATGCCAAAGATAAACCTCTAGATACAATTGACTGTTTGTACAGTCTCGGATCTTTGTAATTCGAGAAAATTAGAGTGTCCCCTAAAATCCTGAATGCACCACCTCCATATTCTTGAGCCACTGTTCGCACCTCAAACTCTTTTGGCATAATATCCATAGGTGTTGAAAATAGTGGCCTAGTTACACACACAACACTATACTATTTGGAAGAGAATAGAAATGGAGGAAAATACTTTTTATTTCACTTGATAGAAAATGAGTACAATGCATGGGTTTATATAGGCTTCAAAACATAAATGTAAATGAAACTTAAAACCCCACTAACATATCATTTAGTAGGCAAAACTCCCACTAACCCACTAACATGACCATTTAGTAGGCAAAACTCCCACTAACCCACTAACATGATCATTTACTAGTTGTAACTCTCATGCCCCCCACTAACTCCAATAAAAAACTCACATAAATATAAAACACCAAATAAAATAAAGTTTAATTTCTAACAACCCCTCTTAAACTTGATTTTTTTTCAACTCCAAGCAAACTCCTAAACTTGTGAAAATCTGCAAACTTGAGGGGCTTGGTGAAAATATCCGCAACTTGATCTTATGACTTGATGAACTTGAGCTCCACCTCCTTCTTAGTTATACATTCTCTAATGAAATGAAATCTTGTATCAATATGCTTGCTTCGTTCATGAAACACCGGATTCTTGGCCAAGGCAATTGCTGATTTGTTGTCCACAAAAATCTCCGTTGACTCTTCTTGTAGCATGTGTAATTCCTTCAACAAATTCCTCAACCAAATTACTTGACAAACACATGAAGTGGCTGCAACATATTCTGCTTCACAAGTTGAGAGGGTGACAATGGGTTGCTTCTTTGAACACCATGTAAAAGCAGTATTTCCCATGAAAAAACAATAGCCCGAAGTACTTTTTCTATCATCCAAATCTCCGGCCCAATCGCTATCACAATAACCCACAAGCTTGAAATCATTAGAAAATGAATAGAATAACCCAAAATCAAGGGTACCTTTGATGTAACGAAGAATCCTCTTAGCCGCCTTGAAATGAGTTATGGTGGGTCTTTCCATAAATCGACTAACAAGCCCAACCGCAAATAATATGTCCGGCCTTGTGCATGTTAAGTATCTCAAGCTTCCAACAAGACTTTTGAAAAATGTTGGATCCACCGTCTCTCCATCTTCATCTCTTGACAATTTAATTCCAACTTCCATGGGCGTGTTCACCAATTTACAATCTTCCATCTTGAATTTCTTAAGAATTTTCTTAGCATAGCCTTCTTGGTGAATGAAAATTCCATCCTTCATTTGCTTGACCTCAATGCCAAGATAATAAGCCATGATGCCAATATCTGTCATCTCGAACTCTCGAGCCATAACCTTCTTGAAATCTTCAAACATTTTTGGATTGCTACCTGTGAAGATTAAATCATCCACATACAAGCAAACAAAAAATACATCTCCATTCTCACTTACTTTGGAGTAAAGAGCATGTTCATATGGGCACTTTGAAAAATTATTGTCTTGAAAATATTTGTCAATTCGCTTATTCCACGCTCTTGGTGCTTGCTTCAAGCCATATAAAGCCTTCTTCAATTTCAAGACTCTGTTTTCTTGCCCCTTTACAACATAGCCCATGGGTTGTTGAACATACACCTCTTCTTCAAGAAACCCATTCAAGAAAGCCGATTTCACATCCATTTGGTGGATTTTCCAATTGTTCTGGGCTGCCAAAGAAATTAACAATCTAATTGTTTCCAAACGAGCTACGGGTGCAAATACCTCATCATAGTCAATTCCGGGCTTTTGGTTGTACCCCTTGGCGACCAATCTTGCTTTATATTTTTCAACTTTACCATTTGCATTATGCTTTGCTTTATACACCCACTTGACACCAATTGCCTTTTGCTCTTTTGGAAGTGTAGCAAGCTCCCATGTGTCATTCTTCTCTATGGATTTAATTTCTTCATCCATAGCATTTCTCCATTTTTTGTCTTGTGCCGCCTCTTCAAATCCTACGGGTTCACAATCCGCAAAGAGACAAAAAAGTGTTAGATCACCTAACCTTTCCGTTACCTCATCTGTTTCGTCATATATGTCACGAAGACTCCTCATGCGAAGTGGTGGTGTGTCACTTGAACTTGATGATGATGGAGTTGATTGATCTTGAATTGATGGCGGTGGAGGTGATGTTGGTGGAGAAATGGGCTGCTCCATGCCTTCATTTTCTTGCTCCTCATCAGAAATTGAAAAAATATTATAATCTTCATTTGGAGTGTTCCAATCCCATGTGGCTCCCTCTTCGAATTCAACATCTCTACTAATGACAATCTTCCCATTGCTTGGATTGTACAACTTGTAGCCTTTGGAATTTGCATCATAGCCAATGAACACCATTTTTTCACTTTTGTTGTCTAACTTGGTCCTCCTTTCATCCGGCACGTGCACATGGGCAATGCTCCCAAAAACCCGCAAATGAGAGACACTTGGCTTTCTTCCGCTCCATGTTTCTTGTGGTGTTTTGTTTTGCACACTTCTAGTAGGACACCGATTGGACAAGTACACCGCACAATCAACCGCTTCAGCCCAAAATTCTTTAGGCATTTCCTTACTTTTCAACATGCTTCGAGCCATATTGAGAATGGTTCTGTTCTTCCTTTCTGCAACTCCATTTTGTTGGGGCGATCTCGGAACCGTTAAAGGATGGTGAATTCCATTTTCTTCAGAAAATTTTTTGAAATTATTTGATGTGAATTCACCACCTCTATCGGATCGAAGAGCCTTTACATCATAGCCACTTTGTTTTTCAACAAGTGCTCTAAATTTTTTAAAAATTTCACACACCTCCGATTTTTGTTTAAGAAAATACACCCATGTTTTTCGGCTAAAATCATCAATGAATAATAAAAAATAATTATTCTTACCAAATGATGATGGAGAAATTGGACCACAAACATCCGAATGGATAAGTTGTAGTGGCGCCGTAGCTCTTGTGGTAGCTTCTTTAGGAAAACTTTTCCTTGATTGCTTTCCAACGAGACATCCTTCACATATTTGATTTGGATTGTTAATGAAAGGCAATCCCTTCACCATCTTCTTTTTGGCCAACAACTCTAATCCTCCAAAATTCAAGTGCCCAAATCTCAAGTGCCAAAGCCAAGTTAAATCATTAACACAAGCCTTCAAACATTTAGCCTCGTCGGCTTGAATATTTAGCAAAAACATCCGGTTCTTTGTCATTGGAACCTTGGCAATCAAATTACCCAATGGGTCTCTTATCGAAAGACTACAATCCTTCATGGATATATTGTAGCCTTTTTCTAAGAGTTGTCCCAAACTCAAAATATTGTTCTTCATATTAGGCACATAATAAACATTAGAGATAAATTGATGATGCCCATTCCTCAAACGAATCAATATTTTACCTTTCCCTCTTACCGGAATTTGTGATAAGTCTCCAAATGTTACCTTGCCATTTATTGATTCATCAATATCAACGAACTTCTCTTTGCTACCACACATATGGTTGCTAGCACCGGTGTCAAGATACCACACATCTTTTTGATCACTCCTTTCACATTTGTATGCTAACAACAAAGTGGTATCAGAGCTAGTTTGTGAGAGAGAGAATAAATGGCAAACAATTCGGTTCCATTTCAAATGCCTCGATTCACCAAAGATAACTATGAAAATTGGTGTATCCATATGAAGGCAATTTTGGGAGCACAAGATGTGTGGGAAGTTGTTTCCAAAGGTTATGATGAGCCAGAAGATGAGGCAACTTTGTCTCAAGCCGAAAAAGATGTTTTACAAGCCATGAGAAAGAAGGACCAAAAGGCGGTGATGACCATCCATCAATGTTTGGATGATGGAATGCTACAAAGAGTTGCTAGTGCAGAAAATGCAAAGCAACTATGGGAGATTCTTCAAAATTCCTTCCAAGGAGTTGATAAAGTGAAGAAGGTTCGCCTCCAAACGTTACGAGGTGAATTTGAAGCATTGCATATGAAGGAATCTGAATCAATTTCAGATTATTTTTCGAGGGTCCTGGCTATTGTAAATCAACTAAGGAGATATGGCGAAACCACCATGACTGATACAAGGGTCGTTGAAAAGATCCTTCGGTCGTTGGATTCCAAATTCAACTACATTGTTGTAGCCATTGAAGAGTCAAAGTATTTGGATTCCATGACTGTTGATCAACTCATGGGTTCGTTGCAAGCTCATGAAGAAAAGGTGGTGAAGAAACAAGAAGCATTGGAGCAAGTGCTACAAACAAAGTTTTCGTTGAACGAAAGAGACGAAAAACATAGAGGAAATCAAAGGGGCCGAGGACGTGGAAATGCACGTGGCTGAGGAAGAGGAAGAGGCCGTGGAAGAGGAGAAAGAAGCGGTCAACACACAACCAACAAAGTGGTATCAGAGCCAGATTTTATGTTCAGAGCCTAGACGATCCTGAAGGCCAGACGAAGTTGATCCTAGAAGGTTCAACATTTGAGAAAAACATGTTTCTCCTTGATGATGATGAAGGAGAAAAAATGTATTTTCTTAGTGAAAAGATAATATTCTCTAATTACAAGAGAATGAGAATCATCATGACTTCATACCTCAAAGCATGCGATTTGTGGGATGTTGTTGGAGAAGAGCCAAAGAATGGCATGTCCAACAAGCTTCATGAAAAGAAAGAAGATAAGGCATTGGTAGTGTTGCAAAAGGCAATACATCAAGAAATTTGGGAGTATTTTGGAGAGTCCAAAACTCCAAGTTGTATTTGGAAGATGCTCGAGACCATCGTTTCCAATCATAGAGGTGAATCACTACCCATGGAGTATTGGGTACAATGCTTTGAGAATGATGAGTTTACGAAAGATGATTATGAAAGTCTTGAAGACAAAGTTGTGGAGAATGAAGAGAAGTATCATGCAAAAGAAGTTGAAGATTTTGGAGATTCAAAAGTTGAAGGAGAATTTGAAATGGTGAATAAGGAAGAGATAAAG